GTATAGTTTGAAGGATTTTGATAAATTATTTGATCGTTTACGGGGCGGTTAACAGACGACAGTAACGATCGTCAAGAATCGAGCAAACCTAAATCTATATCCAGTGATCGGAATTGAAGTTAATCTACTTAAAGTATGAACGTTTTCTAAGTATGGACATACTCACGTCGTCATCAATGCATATAAAATATCTTTTTTACTGTTTATTTTCTAAACATTCCAAAATATAGGTTGTCTCATATTTGTTTTTTAAACGGCTAAAGTATTTAAATACGTAAGTACCCATGGAAACACAATTACAATATTATTTTTTAACCGGCTTCAGAAAAGGAGGAGGTTCTCAATTCGTCTGTATTTTTTTTATGTATGTTACGCCATTACTCCGGCGTTAGTGAATCCCATTTCAATTTTAAGAAAATATTCCACCTCTAAGGGTGCCAAACTTTGGGATGAATCCGGTTTCGCGAACTTACCGGTAACCGATTTGAATAAAACTTGGCAAATAGATGCAAGTCCACGAACTTTTTAGATCTGTTTTTTTTTTATAAAAAAAAGTTATCATTGAGACAACAATTTGTAGGCAAATACTTAATAGGAAATATTAATTTGTCGCCAAGTACTCAAATTTCGATAAATAATACGCATATTCAAATATAATCAGTTCTGAGAAGTCCCAGGATTTGTTGAAGGGAACGTCCACGTTATTCTTTAGGTTAGCTTTAGCTTTAGTTAATTTATTAACTCCCTCAATTCCAGTCCCTGGTTGTATCACAGATGACTTACTGATCTTATTAAAATTTCAAAGTAAACACACATAGTAGCAGTAGAGCAAAATAGTTCGTCCCGGGAAGTAATGCTACCTTACTTATTTCTGTCGCCAAGTAATGAGTGCGTTCGGTTTTGAAGAGTAAGGGTGCTGGTGAAATTACGGGCATTTGGGGTTGTCAAGTTGTCTCAGGTTGACAGGTGCAATGACAGTACCCCACAGAGCTTTGTGATTTAAAGCTCTGAGGGGCACAGCAATTGTTATAGACAGACGTGTCGCTGACCACCACCAGATGCATGACTTGTCCGTCCCGTGATTTGGTATCATAAAATATCTTTACAAGCAATTAAATGTTTCCATTATTATGTATGTTTGTTGCATTATCCAATATCAAATTTTTGTAAGGAATTCTGAAGACACCTACCCTATATTCATCGTCAGAACACTTCATATCGAGCGACAATAACGATCGCGAAAATTCGAGCAAATCTGTAGGCATCTTTAGGGTTCATTTATTCGACACAAATTTCATCGCGCGGTCGCCGCTCGGAGACCGCGTTGCCGCCGCCGCGCAGCGACCGCGTGCGTCTAAGTTGTCATGGCAAAATACGCTCTATTCATTTAGCTTTACGTTGTAACTTAAATGAGCGTCCCGAGCGCGCGGGCGAGACTGGCTTGTCTTTGGTCTACGCGGGCGGCGGCGCGGTTGTATTATTCCAAGGAATTTAAATGTTGTTGCCTAGTAAATAGAATTCAGATTCAGATTAATGTACGTGAACGACGCGGCGAACTTTCGCGTCGTATAACTGGGCGCTTACGAGATCAGATTCGACTCACAAACAATCCCATAACTTACAAATATCCGAAGACGTTTCGTCGAATTTTTTTTTCGTTCGTCTAAGATGTCATCCGTTGAAAAGTGGACACATTTTCTAGCTCCCGAGCCAATTTTTCAGTGATATATTTATTTTGATGCGCCCGTTAACGTTGTTGGTTACATTTGATCTTGAAATCTAAAAATATATTTATCTTATCTCGTATTGCTTTCAAACCAGCCAAGATAACAGTGTGCATTTGATTTTTACACATAATAATAAGATAACTTCTGTTGAGAAAAATAAAGTACGTCTTATTCAAGGACGCCTATACTGAACTTAGGTCTTGGGTGATTGATAAGTTATCTGTCATTGATAATCCAACGTTGTTTAAATGTGAATTTGTCTCAGACATACGTTGTTCCTAGTAATAATCTACTATATTCTTCTTTTCCAACCTCTGGACACCCAGTGCTGAGTGTAGGTCTCTTCCAATGCACGCAGTTCTTTCCGGACACCAAATCTGCTAAGGCAGGATTTTGTATGTATAGTATTCTGCTAAAAGTTTAGACTAGTATCTTGTCTTCTACTTTGTATTCTGCTCTTCGATGGCGTAGTCTACTAAATAATTGACGTTACTTTCGGAGGTTTTCATTGACAATTGAAATACTTGTCATTACCAAATTTTTTTATATATATATAAAAAAAAACCATTTAATTTGGAGAATAAATTGGACGTAGTTAAACGAAAAGGATCCAACGCACATCCAGTCACTTTCGAGATATTGCACCGTTAATACAATAGTGTATTAACTCAGAAAGTGTATTTCTTCAGAGTCGATGAAAAACTAATTACTTACTACATTATTAAAAGTGAAAACATTTTAAAATTTATGTATCTAGGTTAAAGTTTATTTACAGACATGTAATCAATTTTCTATTTGCCAAATAAAAGGGAAAAAATAATTTCATATTTTGCGTAAGGACTGTTTTATGTATAATATTGAATTTTACATATTTTCAATTGCAACACTATTGTGCGATATGGCAGTTTGAAGTTTAAAAGTGTTTCTCACTCTTGTTTTTTTTTAGAACTTAAAATATCATGTGACTCCAGAGATATTTATTTACATTTATATGTTGGATCTTTTTGCTGATCTAAGAAGTTAGACTTAGGAACCATTTGCTACATATAACTCATTTTTTGATAATTTTTGTGGATTGGATCCTTTTTCCTTAACTACCTCCAATTGCAGATTAAGCGAGATAAAAATTTTGATAAGCATCATCGATGGTTAGTGATTGAATGAATGCCATCACTGCCACTCTATTGAGACTCAATTGCCATTGGAACTAGACTTTAGCAGAATAGCAAATAAATGTCTCGGTGGAATTACAATGACCAGGGATTTCGAGAAAATTAGAAGACTTGGTTAGGCCCCTAATAAATAGGCCTAAATCAGTAAGTCTGCTAATTTTAAATAATCTGAGATATGTGTTGTGTGTCGATAATGTCAATAGCAGCGTTTTGTACGTTTGGTATTCTGCTAAAAGTTTATAATAATAATAAATCTTTATTACGGACAACAGGAATACATAAGGTGATTAACACACTGCACCGCGACAGTGCGCCAGACGCGGAATCACGCGCGCGGTGGCGGAGACGCAGATCTGCGTCAACGCGCGGTTTAATCTGTGCGGGGGCAGCGGTCTAGCGGCCCCGCGCCATTTAAAGTACTCGCTTCGTAGTTGAACGCCGTACGGCGCGCCGTAGTGATTGTACATGTAGCTGAGATCCTTCCTTGACAAGAATGGTTAATAATACAGAACTCATCCAGGACGCTGCAGTTATACTGTCCATTTGGTTTTTGTTTACTCAAATAAAAAGACACCGAAGATAACATTCAACTTCATTACATAGATTTAAGAAAATATGACGATTGATTTTTCAACTATACACGTATGTCAACTGAATCCTTTGATTATTTGTTAGGGATCATCCGAACGACAATTACTGGAATAGACACAAATGGATTAAAAATCTAGGCGGTGGTGCCGAGCGCAGTGTGTCATACCCTGGGGTTCGCGCCCCTCGGGTTGTCAATGCGTTCGACGGCGCGTGTTTTCCATACAAACTGAGGTACTTCAGTACAACGTTAAAAACGCAGCTCCGCATTCCGTCGCCGGATGCGGTGCAGTGTGTTAATCGCCAGTGTTAGTAACAAAAATAGCTTATAATTAGGTTAGTACTTGAATTCTACTACGGATTTTGTGGTTGGTATTAAATGCCGCATCACGGGGCGCTCACTCCTATCCGCGATAGTCTTCAGTAAGCCGTTGCTGCTGCCACGTATTCTGTTTAATGAAGACGCCGACTTCTTCATGGCAGACGCATTATAGAACCGTGGCAGACGTTATTATATTGCGTACGCAGGGTTCTGAGCGAGCTTTGGGTATAGCTGGCCGACAACTGCCTCCCTAGATTTATATACCGCATCACGCCGCGCACATTGACTGAACGACAACAAGGCTGTCGGCGAGCCGTTTTCGCGCTAAGACGGCTTTGATATTTCAATACAGTTTTCATTTATTAATTACGAAACTTGTACGTTAATATATTACATCATTGTATGTTATTATTTAGTATGGTCGTGAATTGTGCTGTTGGTGACGATGAAAAAAACTTACGTCTGAGACTCATTCAGTTGTTGTTTTCTTCATTTATTTTGTGAAGAGTAATATATAATGCACATTTATTATATCAATATAATGAGAAGCCATAACTTCGGCTTCGTGAGCTAGTAGTTTAGAACTACTTTTCAATTTATATTGCCGACGTAGTGAAAATACCTTAACTAGGTAATGATAAACTTGGACACGCAATCTCAAATACCTTGGTTACCTTATTTTTAAAAAGTGCCTGTCCAAAATACAACATTTTAAGTACTTTTAATATATTTTTTAAATAAATCTTCAATATAATTGTAATTAGTGAATTAATGAAAAATATAATATTAAGTATATCGACATAAATACCTAATGGACTTGTGTAATTATTAGGATTATATTAATAGAATTAAAGATAACAGATTCGCTTTAGAATTTTCGCTGTGTTGTCGCTCTGACCACGTAACGCAATTGTACGAGAAAGTGATGGGTATACCCTGCCACTTTGCGCTTGTGATATTGAGATAGCGCCTTGCTGTACGTACGAGTAGGTAAATAACTTTCGACCGTTGTATGGAGTGGCCGGGGTGTGACTCAACTGCCATTGCAACTAGATTTAAGCAGAATAACAAATATTATCATAATTATTAATACAATGATCGAAGACTTACAAAAAATTATACTACCTTAATGTACACATGCAATGTGGTAAGAAATAAAATACTTCCTTCAAACGTATGTGTCCATTACAGGAATCGGCGGGGTCTACAAAGGTGTATCAGCAACAGTGATGAAGCAAGGAAGCAACCAGGCAATAAGATTCTTCGTGATGGAATCACTTAGAGATTGGTACAAGGGAGGTGACAGGGACAAACCAGTGCCTAAGTACATCGTGGGACTGTTCGGTGGTATTGCTGGTATGTATATGGATCAAAGAATCTTAATTGAGGTTATCTATTTACAGCCTCAGTACTAGCACAGCCTTGCCTAAAAAACTGAGCATTGAAAAACGGCCTTAAAGTTGTGTGGCATGTAGTCTACTATCTATTATATTAAATTTGTATTGAATTGATATTCATTATTTTTTGTGAAATTACTCCACTAGTTTGTTATAATTATTAATACAAAGATCGAACACTGAGAAAAAATTCCTTCGATGCAGCCGGATTCGAACCGCCGTCTTCTAGCAAACTGTGTCAGACGCTATGCCAACTAAGCCACGGAAAGAACCAGCGGAGCTCACGAATTTTTCTATATGCTTGTTGTCGGATCTTTTGTATTTGGTTTCCACTGCTATTACAATAGTGTTATAACTCAAAATATATTTGAAATTCAAGATTATACCATTGTTGAACGTAAAATTTGATTCTAACACGTCAATTAAACCGTCGTTAGGATATTGTAAAAAATAACTAACTACTTAACTGAAAATGAGACACGCTTTATGGGAGCTAGTTCTGGCCAAAATAGTCCTTATTCAAAAATATGAAACTATTTTTTCTCTTTTTTTTTAAATAATATGTATATTTGGCAAGTAAATTTATACAAATCTTTCACGGGAAGCGAGTAATTCGTTTTTCGTCGATTCTGACGAAATACACTTTTTGAGTTAATACACAAATTTATTAATAGTGCGATATATAGATATCACTAATTTATTGCATTAATCTAAATAATGCTTTGATTGCGAAAAAAACATCCACGAAACCATTTGCATACTGTCTCCGTTCTCTATAATATTCTGCACAACCCTATGTCTCCCTGGTATATGAAAGAGCGATTCAGCTTTCTCAGGTCCTAGGATAAGAGCCCTGTCGCTCTCTCGTTAGGTCCCAGTTGTATTTTCCATCCTTCAATTCCGGTTTTTATTTTCACTTCTTCTCTGTTCATGCGGTCGGACTTTGGAACGCACTTCCCATTACTGTTCATGGTAGTAAATCCTTAGCTATCCTTCCTTGGACGAACTCTTTCACAAGGACCTCTATTGCTACTAAATATAATAATTAATCCAATTAATCTCCAATCTTATATGTCCCATGACCAG